CCTACAACGCCCTTAATCGATACCCTATGATGAAGTTAGCATTATGAAAAATAATAATATAAATATTGAATCCCCTTTTATTGATGACTATTTACATGCTTAATTTTAAATTATCCAATTGACCCAAAAATATCTACATGATTGTTTTTATTATAACAATGTCTATTAAAGATGAGAAATAAAAGAAAGAGAAGAAGATTGATTGAAATACCTCGTAGCAAGCTTTGTTAGATCTTCAAATATGGAAATTATAGGTGTTTTGTGATAACCTTTCACACTACAACTGCCTCACAGAAAGGGAGAGAGAGAATTTTCGTGCTATAAAAAGTTCTGAATGAATTTTCTGGCCTTGAGAACAGTGTCTGAGTCTGCTATTTATAGACGTCAAAAGTTGCCAGAATGACCCTTCCAGATCTAGGAACGGCCCGTTCTGCACCCCTTCGTTATGCGTTAACTTTGTATCTGGAATGGTCCGTTCTTAAACCAGAACGGCTCGTTCTAGAGTTGATTTTAACACATAACTGTCTGTTCTGGAACGGTCCATTCCAAACTAGGGTTTTAGGCCTTTTTAGTCACTTAGAACAGCCCATTCCAATTTAGGAACGGCCCGTCCCGATTTGAGAACGACTCGTTCCGATTTTGGAATGGCCCGTTTCGATTTTGGAACAGCCGGTTCTGGGCTACTAAAACCAGCTTGTTTGGGCTTCAAGCTTCCTTGTTGTCATATGGTGTTGCCTCCATACTTTAGGAGCTTCTCCTCTTCATAGTAGACATCCATTTCATTGCTTTTGTTGGTCTTGACGAAATTAGGTGTCTACAGTACTCAACTTTGTGAAAGTTTGAATTCTAATTTCAAGTCTTGCATGAATTTGAATGTGGATATTATCCAATTCTTCAAACACGTTGAATGAGTTGTTGAAGAGAAGAGATATAATGAGTTGACTTGACTTATTTCAAAATGAGTTTAAACTATTCTTAGCTTCATGCGTATTGGAGAGAAATGAATCCCACTCTTTATGTCGATATGTCATCATTAGGGTCAATCACGAAGGGTCTTGGAAAGTATCATTTGATCGTGCTTCAAAATTTATAACTTGTTGTCGTAACCGGAATCACGACGGGATGACGCTAATCTTTTTTATTCAATGAGGCCGCCACCAATATTTTATTTTAAGGGAAAAACATTGAAAAACCCTTTAATAGATAATCTTTAAAATTAAAGTTAGGTTCGAGAGTCAATTACGTGTAGGGGAGGT